AATTATTCCATGTGTATAGTGGGTATTTGTGGGGTAGTGCTTTGTTTTAAACATGCGCAATTGTTTCAAATCAACTGGGAAAAGTTACGAACGTTACTTGTTGGAAAATTAACGATGGATAACTGCAAAATTATGAATTTTGGGTACTTAATGTCATTTTGAACAATCTAACTAGAAAAAAGAATAATTAATAATAATAGCTCCCGTATTTAGCGTTCAACGCCTTGGGAGTAGCAAGGTACAGCTTGCCATACTAGAGCCGTTCGGTATACAAGGAAGGAAATGTGGCTAGCATTACGCTTCAACCACCTATTATTACCTCAGGATTGTGAATCCCAAGTACTCATTTAAAGCTGAGTCGACCTAGGTACCCAAACTATTTTTATTTTAATGAAAATAGTCGGCTAATGAAAAAAATGAGATTCCTCTTGTAAAAATAAGAGTATAATTTTTCATATTAACATAGGTCCGATTCTGCTTTTTTTCGTAGCTACACGTACAGTAGGTTAAAGTCATCTTTTTTTTGATTTCTGATAATTTTCTACTAACCGATTTGAATGAAATGTTGAGGATCAAAGTTACTATAAGTGCGACATATTGTCATGCTAAAAAGTGTCTACAAAAACGTTTGATAATACCGCGATTTAAATTGTATGTTAATTGGAGAAGGTGCCAGAATTGTTAGAGTAATAGTAGTTGCATAAATTGTGTTTTATAATCAGTATAAACTGTATGTACAGAGTGAGATAATAAATCGTTAAGTAGATTTTACACTGAATCGAAGATTTGAAAATTCAACGACAATAAGACAAACAAGAAGAACAGGACTGGCTTGAGAAAATTCCCGAAGATTTGAAAGTTCAACGAGAGCATGACAAACAAGAAGAACAGGACCGGCTTGAGAAAATCTTAGAAAATCAGGAAATTCGACTTCGAAAAAGCTTCGGGGACATGGAAAAAAGCAACAAGCAATGTTGGAAATACGTTGCCAGGAACAGCAGAACCCCAAGAAGCCGGAGAAGATCTGGAGGAACGCCTTCAGCCGAAAATGGAAAAATTAGAGATGGACCTACAGAAGACCAAGGTACAAGTAAGGACACCTGGCGTTCCTGGAACTGCGAACCTCAAGGCCCCGACCTACGATGGACAAACCACCTGGACGTTGTACCACCGCCAGTTTGAAGCAGCGGCTGCTGCCGACGGATGGACTGACCAGGAGAAAGCAGCGGCACTTGTCATAGCGTTGCGTGGCCCTGCCCTGGAACTGCTGCAAACTATTCCTGCAGCCCAATAGCAGGAATACCAAACTTTGGTCGCTGCACTGGTATATAAAGGCTCGCGCTTGACGGTTGAACAGTTTTGAAGTTTGATAATATCGCGTTTTAAATTGCGAGTTAATTGGCGAAGGTGCCAGAACAGTTAGAGTAATAGTAGTTGCATAAATTTTGTTTTATAATCAGTATAAATTGTGTGTACAGAGTGAGATAATAAATTGTAAAGTATTTTATCGTGGGTTTAAATTAGTGGACCCACGGAATCCGTAACAATCTGTTTCGGAAGTGCGATTTAAGTGGATTTCAAAGATTTTACACCGAATTTGGGGTACGAGAGAGCAAGAGAAGAAAATGGAGGAACTAAGCAAATTATTGGGCGATTTTATGGAGAATATGAGAAGAGAAAAGGCAGAAGAACAAGAGGCTGCGAAAAGAAACAGCAGAAGATCAAGAAATACTCCGTAAAGAACGAGAAGAAGAGCGAGCCCGACTAGAAAAAGAAAAAGCAGAAGAACAATACCGCTTACTGACTGAAATTCTAGAAAATCAAGACAAAATTTTCGAAGATTTGAAAATTCAACGACAATAAGACAAACAAGAAGAACAGGACTGGCTTGAGAAAATTCCCGAAGATTTGAACGTTCAACGACAGCATGAGAAACAAGAAGAACAGGACCGGCTTGAGAAAATCTTAGAAAATCAGGAAATTCGACTTCGGAAAAACTTCGGGGATATGGAAAATAAGCAACAAGCAATGTTGGAAACGCGTTGCCAGGAACAGCAGAACCACTTCCAAGAAGCCGGAGAAGATCTGGAGGAACGCCGTCAGCAGAAAATGGAAAAATTAGAGATGAACCTACAGAAGACACCTGGCGTTCCTGGAACTGCGAACCTCAAGGCCCCGACCTACGATGGACAAACCACCTAGACGATGTACCACCGCCAGTTTGAAGCAGCGGCTGCTGCTAACGGATGGACTGACCAGGAGAAAGCAGCGGCACTTGTCATTGCGCTGCGTAGCCCTGCCCTGGAACTGCTGCAAAGTATTCCTGCAGCCCAACAGCAGGAATACCAAACTTTGGTCGCTGCACTGGTATATAAAGGATCCGCGCTTGTCAGTTGAACAGTTTTGAAGTTTGATAATACCGCGTTTTAAATTGTGAGTTAATTGGCGAAGGTGCCAGAACAGTTAGAGTAATAGTAGTTGCATAAATTGTGTTTTATAATCAGTATAAATTGTGTGTACAGAGTGAGGTAATATATCGTTAAGTATTTTATCGTGAGCTTAAGTTAGTTGACACACGGAATCCGTAATAATATTATATATCTGATAGTTATCATGGAGAATAATTTGAAGAAATGCTCTTACATATGCAAACATAGCCCATTTAAGCTAGGTAAATCAAGGGGAAAAATTTATAGTGTTTTGAAAATAAATGGTTTTTATATGGTTACTCTATATTTGGGCTGATATGTGTCAAAAGTTCTTGAAGTAAGACGGTGAGCTCTTAGAGGAGGAATATTTTCTGATTTTATATATATAAAATTGGCTGGCAACATTCTCTACAAAAATTGGTGCATGTTTTTTTTCATAGGTGCCTTTTAAGAGTTGCAGGGCTGACTAAAATAACGTCATTTTACAAATTGTTTTTTTCGCATTTAAATTACAGTCTAAAATTGTATTGTAACGTTAATTAGGAGGATATAAGCGGTCTTTGTTATCTTGTAGGCCTCCGCGTATCCATAATTTTGTCTTATACTGTAGGGCATTGGTACACGCCTGACTTCACAGTAACCACAAGTTAAAATAATTTCGGAGCAGATGTAAATATTGTAGATAGTACATATACGAAAATCATAGATTATCAATTTTATGCCACCTCAATTTAATGTATCAATGATCACACGCAAGTTTATCAAGGATATACGTTTATCTGTATTACGTATACCTATAACTTCACTTACTCATTTATGAACCTCTTGGCTTAAATTCAATCAACGAGATGATTTTCGCTTTGTTGTTAACTAACCCAAGTAGCCTACTCCACTTGCCATAATAGCCAAAGGCAATCATAAAGTCACCCAAAGGTAAATAACTTATTCAATTAAAGTTAGGAAATGGCTAATGTAGTTTAATAAAGGGCCAAGCATAGTGGATGTATACCTAAATTAAATTATAATTCATAAACTATGTATTCACATATACAGGGTGATTCCTGTAAGTCGGTCATGCTTTCGAGGAATGATAGGGGATGTCGAAATATTAATTTTGATATAGCACACTATGGGTCGGAAATGCCTCTTACACAGTTAGCCTGGGCCAAGATGTCAAGAAAAAAAATATATAAACTTTTAGTACTTTATTTTTTAAATGCTGATACCACTGGCTTCAAAAAAATATAAAAAATAAAATCGCCGACGTAAAATTGGGGTCTCTACACAAATTTAAAAAAAAAACTTTTTCAACCAAATTAAAAAGCGCGCAAAAAGTTTTCTTAATAATAAATAACGACCATAATCACCAAAAGGTATGCTTACTGCTGCCCCCCTCCCTGTTTCTAAATCCAGGAGGTTGGGTCTCTGAACAAATTTAAATAAAAATAGACTTTAATCTAATGGAAAAAGAAAAAAAAATATTTTTTTTCTAATATTTTAGTGATAAAATTTTACTTTATGATCATAAGTATTAGTAAACAAGTAAAACTACAAACTAACAATTAAGGAAGTACAATTAATAACTTTAACACACACTGAATTTAGACTAAAAAGGAAGAAAACAATTAGGTACTAGCTCTAAGTAAATAAATAAATTTTAAACATGGTTACTGTTGTGGGAAGCAACACTCCTGTTTGAGATTTTTTTGATAGTTTTTTGATCTGGGATTTGAATTAAGTTTTTTGAGAACAACTTAAAGGAATGATGCACCTGCTCTGAGGCTTGCTCAGAGTAATAGCCCAATGCTTTCTGTGAAATACTAACAAAATCCACTATATGTTGAACAACAACGTGAATTTTTGGAGTAAAACTGATTTTCGTATTTCTTATTTTGTCGGAAAATTTCAGTATATAGGCTTCGTAATTGGTATTAATATATTTTCCAAAACAGCTGGCTACC